TATACAGTCAAAAAGCTAGAATCAAAATATACAGCGATAGACTTCATGGATGACACAACATGGATAGCAAGGTCCAAGGATAACATGGAAAAGATTCTAGAAATAGCAAGAATCTTCTATATGACCAATGCCTCTTAAATCAATAGTAACAAATCAGTACTAGTTACTATAAATAATCCTAACTGCTACCTAGAAGAAGTTCAAGCAGGTATCAAAAATGAGGTAGTCAAAGAACTTGATAGAACAGAGCAAGCAAGATTTTTGGAGATCTGGACAGATAGCTAAAAAACAATGATCGAGCTCAAAGAAAGAGTGCTTAAAAAATTCATATGGTTACTAGGGCCCTTAAAAACTAAAAAGTGATAGATAAACAAGCACTCTACATTTTGAATAGAATATTAATACCATGAATAGAATTTAGAATGCAATATAGTATATTGTCCTGGAAGATATGCAACACATTAACAACAACATACAAAAAACTCTTCAAAAATAAAAGTTTATTATGCAGATCTATGCCCAATAGTATAATACACCATCCAAAAATCCACAATTTGAAGAGTATTTGAATACTATAGAGAGAAAGTCAGGTAACAGAATTGTGCAACAGATTGAATGATCTTAGACTGGTAGGGACCACAACAATTATAAGGCTCAAATAAGCACAAATTAAATATTGGGAACCACTTAACCTGTTGACTTGTAGCTCTCTTAATTATCTTCCAGGCAAAGACAACTTCTCGCTACAAGTAACCAAGCTAGCTAAGGATATAGGAATAACCTTTCATAGTTGGAAATGGCATGACATTTTTGAATAGAAAAAGTGAAACAGTTTAATTAAAGAATACTTTTTACCTGATGAGTACTATAAGGCCATTCCATCTTTAAAAAATAACAAGATGATGTATATAGATCAACTTGTTGATAATGAGGCAAATGAATTAAAAAATGGCAAATGCTTCAACTTATTCAAAAAACAGGAAAAGGTCCCATTCCTGAATAGTTCTTAACTATAAACAAGATGCTCTCCGGAAATCTTCTAAACCAGCTTATAGAATATTGGGAAATATATCAAACAAAATGGGAACTAGTATACCCTAAAGCAAGTGCCGACCAAAACAAAAGGCAGAAGATATGGGTAGTCAAAAAGGATCCTAACCATAAACTGTCTTGGGGAAAATTAATATACAAAGGGACAAGAAATAAAGTAAAGATCTACATTATACTGTCAGAACAATGAAAACAACCAGGAAACAAATTTGATAAAATGCTCAGGTTGCTTGGAGGGTTGTATCCAAGAAAACAACTGTATAATAGAAGAAGATATAAATAAGATATATATGATATCATATCTCAACACAAGAAAAGGTATCAGATGAGTCCAGATATTAATAATTACAAGCCCCAAGATTTCATTAGAAAAAGCAATCAAAAGAGCAATACAAGATGATTGGGTTATAGTATGGAATTCTATCTTGTCACCCCTTTTTTAGTGCACTAGAATAGACTATGTGGATATAGAAAATTGGAAAGAAACAATTATAAAAACAAATGTTAAAAAGGAAGTATATCAAGATCACTTATTAGAGATACTTTAGCATAATCAAAGATTCAATTATAAGTTGGCCTTCTATTCAGATGGCTCACTTGTCAATCATGGAAGTGATATGATGAAAATAGGAGCAGTATGGATCCAAATTAGTGAAGCAGAAAAGGAAAGTAGATTTCAAACGGGAGTAGATAATTGGTTCTTATTAACAAGAGCGGAAATAACAGCAATAATCACAATACTCCTAGTAGTTCAATAAATAGTACAATTGAAATCTTCACAGATAGTTAAGCTTGCATCTCTAAAGAAATGTCAGTCAAGAAAGATAACCCAAAAAGAACACATAAAAGATGGCTAAAAGATAAAACTGGTCATTATTGGTTTGAATAGTAGAGCTGGTCAAAAAGAAAAACTTAGATCTAAAGCTTATCAAGGTCAAGGCACATTCCAATAATCCCTATAATAATGAAGCAGATGCTTTAGCCAAAGGAGCCCTCAACTTGCCCGCAATAGAATGAAAGGACCTCACTTCCTACAAAATCTTCACAGAAATCAAGTGGAAAGACAAGACACTAGATGATCCCATAAGACAATTTATCAAAAATATAAATGACAAGACCACAGTATATCAATGGACAGCACAGAATAGAATAAAAAAGAAATGGAATCATCAGATTAAAAAACAACAAAAATACAATTGGAATTTAGCATGGGAAAGAATGAATGAGCGTACATGGGAATATCTTTCAAAACTTACAGAGAAAGAGCTTTCTTATTAAATTTATGAGCAATAAGCTGCCAATCCTGAGTAAGCTGACAATAAGAAGGCTAGATCTGTATAAGCAAGTGAAATGTATTGCATGTGGCCTCCATAAAGAAGAAATAATCGATCACCTGCTAGAATGTCTAGCTTATAAGAAACAGATATAAGAAGCATGGAACAAAGGTCTTGAAGGGTTCTAAAAAACTTTAAAGAACTTCTACAAGAAAGATAAAAGGAAGCAGCTAAGAAGAATGTGAAACTAATAATAGAAGATAGAAAAGAATTAGAAGAAATAGATAAGTGAATATTCAGGCTAGTGGAACAAGCTTTGACAACTAGCCAAAATATGTTGAGCTTCTTTGCAGAATTGATAAGAAGCAACCTTGTTCTCAAAATGGCAGATCTTAGATGCCATGGCAAAAAACTCAAAAAAGAAGCAAGAAAATAGATAAAGAAGATACAGAGTATAGTATGCAACCAATTCCATAAGAAGGTTTGAAATGCAAGATGTGAGAAAATTATAGAATGGGAAAGAACACAGGGAATCCAAAGAAATGATAAGATAAAAAGATCTTCAAGCCTTCCTGATCCAAAACCTAAAACTGCATCATTAGAAAGAAGAGGTGCTCCATTAATAGAAAAAGAAAAATCAGAAGATCAAGGTCTCATAGGTATCTTATCAAAAGGGGTTAGATTCGGAATGAAATAGTTGGGTTTTGAGTTCTATCAGAACTGCAAAGAGTGATCTACAGTAGTGACCTGCAAGAAATGATATTAAAAGTTGGAAGGGTCTTCACCTAAACTTTTAATGAAGTGAAAAATCACTCCCAAAGTTGCACTTAGAGTAATTACTGAGATGAGTGAGCTAGTTAAAGTTTTAGCTTTAGCAATTCATACTATATGTACAGCTTACAATTGTTTAATAAAGCACATATAACTAGCCTGACAGAGGATTTAAAAAAAAAAAAAAAAAAATCAAAAATTACCATTTTTTTTTTTTTTTTTTGATAGAAAGATCAAAAATTATTATCATTTTTTTTTTTTTTTTGGCAGGAGGATTAAAAATTATTATTATTATTTTTTTTTTTTTGACAGAAGGATCAAAAATTATTATCATTTTTTTTTTTTTTGGTGGAAGAGTATATATATTTTCAACAATTTACTGCTCTAGAGCTATACACGAAATATTGTTTGTGTTAAGATGACTATTATATGATGTTGTTGCAAGAATATATGTGTTGAATTATAAATGGTTTTCTTTCCTTAGGTAAATTGCCTAAAAAGGAAATTTTTAAGGATCTGAGGGATTTGTAGAAAAAAGATTATTTTGTTGCTTCGATATTTATATGTATTATTATATCTTAATTGATTAATAAAATATATATATATGTATTTCATTCTTAAAAAAAAAAAAAAAAAAAAAGGTTCATAATAGAATATAAATAAGTTTTTATTAGTTAAAATACATGTTTCAATAATATTATTAATAAAAGAAAGAGTAAATTGATATCTTAGTTTCATACTATTTTTAATTAGATTAACCTATATTTTAAGTTTTATAAATCAATAAAATTTGAACACTAAGTCTTTAGGTAATAAAAAAACAATATTTATTTAATCTAAAATTTTTTTATTTTTATCATTCTAGTTAGATAAGATTTTAACAATAATATTTATCTTATTCAAATTAGACCTTAAAATAATAAATTCTTTAAATTGTAATATAAAAATTATTAATAGATAAAGATTCAATAGATAATATAACTAAAAAATTAATTAATATACTATAAATAAGTTTCTTAAAAGAAAGAACATAAGATATTTTTTATTATAAAGAAATCTTAAAAGTGAATTTTTGAAGAAATCTAGATATACAGTATATATATTTTAATTTCTTTTGTTTTCTTATTTTGCATATTTATGCATTTTTAGATAAACTCTTCTTTTTTTTAACTTAATCTTTTTTGCAATTTCCTATATTTCAGTGGCTTGATAGAATATTAGTTAAACTTGATATAATGTTTAGCTGTAATATGTACCATGTTGCTTAAATGAATATTTACTTTTGTATTCTTTTGATTAATAAATAAATGGTCTAACCTGGCTATACAGATAATACAATTATTTGATCATGTAAAGACTAATACTATGAAATTTTCAATTGCAATAGAATTAATTACTCATCATTTAAGTTAACCTATACAAATATTTATATAATTATATAAATTAGCGTTATAAACATTTTTCCAAAGAATTAATGCTTCATCTTAGAATTATTTTAGAATCGGCTAAGATAAAATTGTTTCAAATTTATTAATTAATACGAAATCTTTGCAATATTTAAAATAATTTCGCATCTTTAATGAAGAAAATATTTGTCGGTGATAATATACAGATACATCTATCAAGAAAAATTTCCAGTTGATTGAGTGCATGATTAAATATTCGAAAATATACAAAAGGATGTTTGTTATATGTGTATAAATAAGTTTTTAAACAGCAAGAGTGCCACTATTTATTCGATGGTGAATAGTTCAATAATTCTTCCCCGAGAAACCATGAAGTTTGATCGAGCCACTCTTCCAGCAGAAACTTGACAAAGGTTTTTCAGAAGTTGATCAATTCTCTAATTCGGATCCACGTCTTCTCAAGAAAGCTTCTTTCAAAACCATATTAATTGATTCATACTCGGAAATAGATGGTAAATGAACTGAAAGGCTATCGCGGCTGTTATAATTAGAATAATTTTGTCTCGAATCATGGATATCTGAACCTTCATCACTCATTCCAACCAAGCCTCTCCCATCTATGTCCATATTGCCGAGTTCTCCCTGCAATTCATTTATAATATGCGAGCTTCGTGTCAAATTTGCAAGGTATAGTAGAGAATTAATATTAGCATAAGGGTTAAATTCAGCATCAAGGGAAGAATATGCGTCAGATCTTGTCGATATGCGAAGTGGATGATGGTTGGATTTATGTGAATTATTAGGTTGTTGATGTGAAGATTGGGGTTTTTGTTCTTGGGTGAAATGAAAGTGATCATGATAGGAATTTTGAGTAGAGCTTTCAATGGCGTTAAAAGGAGAATGAGATGAGGGGGTTTTTGGAGAAGAGGATTCAGAATTTGAATTTTGGTAGGTGAAATCTCTAAAATGCAGAATGGACATTTGAGATGTGAAAATGGAACAAAGCGCAACACGTCGCTTTTTCATGAATAATTAGAAGAAATATTTTTCGTTGCAAAAGAATTCACAGATAAAAGGCAACTCGAGAAAGCCAGGTCACTGAAACAAGATACACTAACCTCGAACTATCCTGCTCCAAATCTAATCTCATTTTCTTTAGTTCTTTTTCTACTGCCCTCTCTGTCGTGTCCCCGTCCTTGCCAAGATAAAACTCTTGACTCTTCAAGTTTCCACCAAAGTCATTCTCATTTTCTTCACTCGAAACGCGGGACCGCTTGAAACCGCGTAAGCTACAACTGTTAAATGCGGAAACTCTCATTATGAAGTTGAATAGTTACAGTACATTCAGAGGTTTTGAGCATACGAAGCCAGGACGTCATTCTAAAAAAATGTGGTACGTAATTTGTGTAACTGATGCATGCGTGAAATAATGAGCTGTAAGTCGTGATTTCTCTTCAGTGAGGGAATTATAACAATTAACGGAATCCGATGTTTTTTTCTTTTATAGTCATTCTGAAATCAAAATTCCTCATAATTATTAAATATTCAATTCATCTTGTAAGATTGTGTATATTTGAACAGGATTTACACTTTCACGTCGAATCATTGTTAGGATCACTAGATCAGCATAAAGATTGATTTGTTACACAGATTTATGTGGCTTGGTTGACTCGCTAACTACATCCGTGATGAAAAATTCAACAAAAGAAAACAATACATCTTTCCCTAATAATATTATTATTATCCTAAACCACCCATTTGAATACTTCTTTTTTTTCAAGTTTGCATATTAAATGTCGAATCAACTAAAATCCCAACTCATTTGATATAATTATTGTATATCAAAAGGTTTGGTGTATTGTTTGGAATTTTGTCAAGAGCGTCCTTTGTGGATAAATTGATAATAATATCCTTGAGCTCTTTAGGAGTTAAAGGTTTAGTGAAGAAGTCCGATTCGTCATCAACTTGAAGAGAAAGCAAGTATGCTATCAGACCGGCGACATGAGGAGATGCCATTGAAGTTCCAGAGATGGTATTGGTGGCGGTACGAGACCCAATCCATGTGGAGGTGATATCCTTACCCTAATTTAGGTCAAACGATTGGAATTGAGTGGATAAGTTCAAAATGAGAGAACAACCTTAAGAGCGTAAATTAAAATGGAAATATATATATATGTATGTATACTCACAGGAGCGAAAACATCGACACATTTACCGTGATTAGAGAACCAGGCACGTTCGTCCTCAATGGTTGAAGCACCAACGGTTATAGATAACTCGGAAGCAGCCGGTGAGAAATCACAAGCATCACGATTGTCGTTACCAGCGGCAACGGCAAAGTTGAGACCAGCTTCAACGGCCTGATAGAATTATCGCATTTACACGGAATATCATGAATCGTATTTCTTTAGTGGAGTACAAATGATACATGGAAACTTACCGAATCGACGGCAAAGTCCAAAGCCTTACTTCTACCACCGCCCAAGCTCATGTTGGCGCCTGATCCCTTGAAAGGTTTTCCTTCCTCTCTCGCTTTTTCTTCAGCTTCTTGATGAGCTTCGGCAGCATACTCAACGCCTTTAAGGACATCCGACATGGTACCGGAACCATTCGATCGCAACACTTTAACAGCAACAATCTTTGCTTTTTTTGCAACGCCATACCTCTTACCCGCAACAGTGCCAGCAACATGGGTGCCTAATGGAAAGATTCACTGAATTAAAGGAAAAAAAAAGATACATGCATTTCGATAAAATAACGGCAATGCATACCGTGTCCATTGCCATCAATGTCTGCGTCGTTGTCAGGGATCGTCATACCCCATTGGGCACGACCTCCGAAGTCAGTATGATTAACGTTTACGCCAGTGTCGATAATGTAGACCGTAACACCTTCTCCTCCTTGTGGATCGTAAAGGTACTTGTTGAAGGTTCCAAATGTCAATGAGGGACGATGTGCGATTCTGGCCAAGCCCCACGGAGCATTTCGTTGAAGTTCAGATGCATAGACTACTTGATCTTTTTCCACCCAAGCTACCTGCGAAATTATGAAAATCCAAATTCTCAATTAGTAGTCATCATACTGCGCCGCTCGTCACACAACTATATTGGCGTTCGAAATCAGCGCCGTATTCTATTGATGTGTCAGAACTAGTTTCATACCTCCTCGCTGCTCCTGATCCTTTCTAAGACATCGTCGGTAAAGCGACCGGAATAACCCTTTAGACTTTTAAAATTATAGGTATGTTTAATACCAGATATCAATTTATCGAGGAAACCTCTCTTGGCAAGTTTGTTGTTTTCTTCGTTAACCAAGGAACGAATCCTGTGGTGATGGTTTTCGATATGCTTCCTCTCTACTTGTTCTTTGAAAACTATAATGTACGAGTCAGGAATGACTTGAGAATTAGCCGACGAGAATAAAGGTGCAAGTTGTTGTTCCTCAGAAATATAAGGTACAGCGACTGCCGAGGAGACAAATAAGGCTACAAAAAGGAGCAGCTTATTGGGCGTCATAACTAATAAAAACACGTAACGCGAGAACTCCGTTGAAATCTATAATACAAGAGAAAAAAAAAAAAAGAATAGAAGGTCAAGAGAGAGAGAGAGGTATATACAAATGGAGAAATCTCCTAGGGAAGATTTATTGTTAACAGGCGTAAACAAACAATAAATATGTACAGCTCTGTCCAATCGTTGACGCAGTTGGAGAATAGGGATTTCCTTACTGTTGCCCGTTTTTAATTAGCAGAATCGATATTTTTAGTTTGATTTTGTTCCACAATTCGAAGAAGGCGTTTTCCGAAATTGGTTAAGATGTTCCAAAGGATGTTTTGTTTCATATATGCAATTTCTTAAATATGATGCTAATAGCACAAACTTAAAAAGGCCTTACGTAAAATGTTATATTTGACCCGACTCTTGGTGAGTCACATCTGATTTTATATAGTGCGTGTCCGAACACGAGCGTATCTTTAATCCGGAAGTACAAAATTGTGAAACACACATATTTAGAGGATTGTATTTTCTTTTATCCAACAATCGTTTGTGTTTAACTTATTATAATTCAGTCAGGCGACTCTCTCACGATCAATTATTATTACCTTATCTGCACTACGCACGCATGTGTCTCATATCGATATATCATGTTGTCATTGACATGAGTTAAGACGAAATTCACTTATTCGATTACGATGATCTGATTCTTTCCTTATTACGTATTTGGGAAATTTTTTAAGAAGCAATGATGATTGATAAGAAAAAGATAATATAATAAATACTGTATATAAACAATAAAATAATAATCTTGTCTTACTGCGCAATATAAGATCTTCCGATGGTCATTTGATTGATAAAATTTTTTCACTTCAGCAGACCAATGTCAAGGGATCAAAGAGTTTACGCATTTGGATATAATGGTTTTGGACAAACCAATCCTGATACTCGAGATATTATTATCAGTTCACCAACCGACATTACGGAAATTACTGGTTGCGATAAGATAATTTGGGCCAATATGAATGCAACTTTGGGTGAAATGGTAATTTATATTAATGTCTATTTCATGATCTTAATAGATATGATCAATTTTTATTAGTGATCATTATTTTCTTTGTTCACCAAATTTTAAGAGAGATGTTAAAGGCGGTGGCGGTGCAAACTCATGGGTATTATGGGGGTTTGATCCAACACCTAACGAGATAACGTTACCAAAGCTAACCGAACTTGGAAATATTGGGAAATGTTTTGGCGATGACGACGGTATTAAAGGATTCCTTGATCCTGATGGAAGTATTCACCATATAGATTTAAATTCGAGTCAGATCAATGTAAGCAATTTCTCCAAGAAATTTGTTGACGTTGCACAACTTTGGACCAATGATGATATTGTAGGTATCACAGGTAAGTGGAATGCCATAAGGCAGGTTCTTAGAAATTTCGGATTATGATATATTATAATTGGAATTTGTCGTCTTGAGAGAATGGAAAATTGCTAAAATGGAATTCAGGAGAAAGCTCATCCGCTGAAGAAATAATAATGCAGCCTAAATATGGAATGAATGATTATTATTTCACTAATATCGCATGTGGGGAAAATCATTGCTTGGCGTTGACTCACGACGGAGAAGTATTTAGTTGGGGTTCAGGAAGGTAGAGATGGTTTATTTAATGATTCCTTAAAGAACCATATAACGAATCACATCATTCATAGTTCTTAGATATGGCCAATTAGGCCATGGGGATACACTTTCTTTAGATAAACCTAAGGTCATAGAATTTTTTCAAGGGTTGAAGATAACCCAAATTGCGTGCGGAGGATGGCATTCCGCTGCGATTTCTGGTAAAAATTAACTTCACTTTATTTTCATTTCCGGAGGGATTTATATCGTTTTAATCATAACTTGGCGTCAAGATTCAGGAGACTTGTACACATTTGGTTATAATCGCTCGGGAAGATTGGGAATTTCTCAATTGGAAATGAATATGGACCCCATAAATTGTGCTGAACCTTCGTTGATCGAAATCGGTGAAGTTAACGTGTTGAAAGTTGCATGTGGGAGTGCCCACACGGCTATAGTGACAGGTAAGTGCATTTATTTGTTCAGCTATATCCGGCATCCAATCTTTAACCAACTTTCTTGTTGTCATACAAACTAGATGATTGTCGTCTCTGGACTTGCGGATGGGGTATGCTATAGATATTTCTTTCTATTAAGACCTTGTGTTTGCTTTTCTTCTGTGAAATAATTTATCTTTAAAATTAGGAAAATATGGTCAGCAAGGACAGAAATTCGGAAAACTATCTGATAAATTTTCTTTTACACCCGTGTTCGGGGACTCGAGCTGGGACAGGAAAAAGGTTATAGATTGTTATTGTGGGCGATGGAATACGTTCGCTATAACAGTGTAGTGATTATCTACAGCATGAATTAATTCTTTGTGAATATGCATTGGTAATATAAAATTATCAATCAATACAAAAACTTGCGCTTGCATCTTTACATTGTTTCAACTTGTAAAATAAGTTATTGTAAGTATTTTCACAATCTTTTAAAAAAATGATTACTGCAAACGATATATTAGAAGGTTCACTTTCTACATTAGAATTTAATGAGAATTTTATGTTGAAGAAATCTTATTAATGTGTCGTGCTTGTCGAATTGTCGTAAACCATCAAAAAAAATCTACACTTAATAATCATCTTGCTTCATTAAAACACAGAGATGCGAAAGAAAATCACCAAAACAATTTTTACAACAAAATTCAAATACTTTAACAATTTTATTCGAAAGAGAACAAATAAACTTGGATCTTGTTCAAGAATTAACAGCAGCAAATATACCTCTTGAAAAAATCGATAAATTAAAAGATTTTTTTCAAATCGGTAAATACTTTTAATTTATACATTTATTTATTTAACAATTAGGGGGTGCAATTGTTGGTCAAAATATTTAGTTTTAGAATAATTTAATGAGCACGATATGATTAGACTATTTACAATTTAAATTAGTAGATGATATAGTTTTATTTATTAAAAATTTCTTTTATTCCTTGTTCAACATGTAAAATTTTTTTTTTTTTTTTTTTTTTAACCCGCAGTCAGGCCAATATGGCTTGTCCATTTTATTGTAAACATATTTGGTATTTACATATTTTATGACTTTCACATATTGACTTACCCATCTACAAAGTTTAACCTTCTCTAGATGTAACTTAGAGGATGATATTTCGCTTCCTTTATGACTTGGATTATCCTTTAGCCACTCAGATCATTGTCTACAGCTCATCACTGTATATCTCCCGAAGTTCTAACTGTAATTAAAAACCAAACCATTTAAACTCTTTGGATATCCAAATATTTATTATATCTACTATATTGCTTTGGGACTTTATTCATTCTGGGTCTTCTTTTTCTTCTGTCATATTTCTGGAGAAACAAATAGAGAAGTAATCAACTTCCTTAAGAACTCGATCCATTTTTCTAATCATATCAGTTGTTACTTCATGCCTTTTGAGTTTGCTAATAATTCCTTGATTTTGTTTCCATTCGATAGTAATGTTACAGCATTTGTTCCAAACTTCTTTCTTGAAGGTCTTCTTCATTTTTTCACAAAATTTGCCAATAGTCTCTTGTGTTGTTGTTGCTGAAATCTTGAGGGCTTTGTTCAATATATAAATATAAATGAATTAATTATTTATATTTTACATAATAATTTTAGATCAATATTTTCTTCTTATTTAAAAATAAAAAATTTTAATTTAATTATAATTATTCTATTACCTTTATCTGATAAAATTTATAATTCAAAATTGCTTTTTATATTTGTTAATGTATTTCTTTTTCTATTATTTTATTATAAAGAAAAAATATTGTCAATAGTAATATAACAATTAAAAAATTAATATAAATTTTTCATAATGAATAAAAAAAATATTTGCAAAAAGTTTTATACTTTTATATTAATAGTCTTACTACTTTTATTAAAACAATTTAAAGGATAACTTCAAGAATCATCTTTATTTTTCTACTTTTGTTTATAATTTTTTTTTATATAAAAGTTTGGTTTTTAGTAATTAAGAAAAATCAAAAACATCTTTTTTTATTTATAGTAAAAAAGTTCTAAAAAAAAACCAATAGTATAATATTAAAAATTTATTTTTTGAAATATAGATATAAAATAAAAATGAACAAAAATCTAAACCTTAAAAACTTTTTTATTTATTATTCTTATCTCTTATAGTTACTCATTTTTCAAATTTTTCAAATAATTTTATTTACTTTAGTTTAATCTTGAATTTTGAAATAATATAAAATTAATATAACTTTTATTAAAGATGATTAATTAATAAAAAATATATTAGTAGTAGAATATAAACACATTTTTACTAGTTGCAATATATATTTTAATAATATCATTAATAATTAAAAAATAAAATCTTATTCTTATTTCAAAACTCATTTTTTTTATCCTCTGACTATATACAAAAAAAAATATTTATAATAAGTTTTTATACTTTTTTGCTAACAAAATCTTAAATATTTTCATTAAAACAATTTAAAATATGATTCCAAAAGTCACTTTTACACTTTCCCTCTTGTTTATAAACTCCTTCCCTCAAAAATTTGACTTCTAGTGATCAAGAAAAGTCAAATAACATCTTCATTATCAATAGCAAGAAAGTTTCTAAAGGAAAAAAAACTAACTGTAAAGTATTTAAAGGTTTTTTTAATATATGAAGTAAAAGATTTATTTTCTCTTTTTGAATTGTCTTATCTCTTTAAAACTTACACTTTTATGATTTTCTAAAGAATTTTGCCTACTTTAGCTTGATTCTAAATTTTAATTAATATAAAACCTTATCAAAAATAATTAATGACACAAAACATATTAATTTCTGAAATATAAACAAGCTTCTATTGATTAAAATCAAATATTTCAATGATATTATTAATAATTGAAAAGAAAGATCTATAAAAAAGGTATCCTTCAATTGAGCAAGTTCCTAAAAAAGATAGTTATAATATTAAAAAACAAGCAAAAGATATAATACATAGTATTCCTATCTTTTTATCAAGTTTCTCAAGTGATATGAAAGCTTTTTCAGAAAAAAAGTTAAGATCTCCAAGCTTTTATTCCAGTTAGGTAAAGTTTCTACAAAGGTTTTTTTATTCTAGTTAAGCTAACTTTACTGTAATATGGTATTGGTACTAGTTTTGTAATAAGTGAATTCATATATCAGTAAAAGGATAAATTCCTTAAACATTTTTCTTGAAGTTTCTATACTCAGGAATGGATAAGTTTCTCAAATAATTCAAAGTTCAAAGAATATCCCAGTTAGATAAATCTCTTTTGAAAAAAGGTTGTTTATTTAAATTAAAAATTTTTAGAGAGTTTTGAATTGGTTTTTTTTTTTTTTTATCTTTCCTAACATATAATTTAACAATTTATTGTTTTTTGAAATAATCTATAGTAACAAATTGTAAATGATAATTCTGATAGATAAAGAATATAACCAATTCATTAAGGAATACAATATTGTTCTCAAAATCAAATCTTAAATATCTAGTTTAGATTTTGTTTTGTTTAATTCAAACTAATTTAGTGGACTCTTCATATTTTTTAAGTAATATGGTTCTTTAACTAATAATATATAAAAACAAATTAATTATCATATGAATAGTTAAAAAAACTCTTTTTGCTGATCCTCCTTTTTCTTAAAAATTTCTTTTTTTGGCAATTTTTTTGAAAAAGAAAACCTGGTTAAATACACAAGGAAAAACAACATATCTTTCAAACCAAGCTACCAAGCTTTAGCAATACACATACAACAAGCCCTTCAGAAACATCAAAGAAAGAGGTATACATTGTTTTATTAATTTTCTTTTACTTCTTTTTCTTAAAATTTTTAGGAGAAAGAAAAGATACCTGTAAACTGATTCACAGTCAGAAAAAGGGAGCCAATATCAACTTCACACAGTTTACAGCCAGGCCAATGCAGGTTAACACCTTTCTTGACACTGTAAAGAACCCAGGAAGCAACTAAGTTTACTTGATAAATCAAGTTATTTTAGTCACTCAAAGGCCCAGAAGGATATCAAAGCTCCCCAAGAACAAGACAGTTTAAACGTACATACACACAAAAACAACATACCTATTTTCCATCTTGTTATGTGAATATGATCACGTAAAAGTGAATAGGCAAAACAAGTATACACGTAAAAGTGACAAACAAAACACATACATACACATATAACTTGTGATCCAAACAAGTTGATTGACATTCCATATAAACACAACAACAACTTGCAAAATTTGGATAGAATCTTCAATATCAACAAATAAATTTATCAAAACAACACAACAAGATTTTTCCATAGTACCTATTCAAAAATATAAACAACAATAACCTCAGAAATGTTTATCCGTGATCCAAAAATAGAATAACTGACAAACATAAACAAGCGATCACATGATCTATTAACAAATCTAAACCAATAGCAGATATGAATAGAGCACAATGTATATTACAGATTGTTAACAAAAGAGAAGAGGATATAGTAAACACATTAATCAACCTCTAAAAACAACATGATGAACACTCTACTCTATAGGCTTCACAACAACTACTTAAACAAAGAAACTATAAATCCAG